CACAAATTGACCATGATGTATTCCGCTCTTGTTTTTGAGGCAACAGATACTTGATGTCACTTATTCGCATGCCATAACCGATCACCGACTAATAAACATAAAATTATATTATATTTCATCTAATATAAAATACTTAGCTCGCCTAATTTTCTATATAGTCTCTTAGGTATCATAATATAGTGAATTTCTAATGTCTTTTCTTCAGAATGCAGCATCTTTCTTCAATTCGTCTAATGCACCAAGGGAAAAATTTGAACGTATTTTCGGGCTAATTGTCATCAGAATCTTTGGTATTCAGTCTTAGTAAGGTCCACGGAAAAGCTTTCATGATCTTTAGGTGACTTGCGTCCTTGCTCCCTTTTACTACGAAGCAGTGAGCATAGCATCATTAACAACGTGAAGCATAAAAATCCTCTCAGGAGAAGTGAATAAATAATGTATTCTAGAGAAATTAATTTGCACTTTGATTCTGCTAGCAGATGGTAATATATTATGGCCAAGAAGCATAATAAATAATGGGGTTATGAAGTAGTTAAGATTTAACCTTCTGCTTCTTGTGCATATCCTTTCAATGTATGATAGATGTAAAAGAGGATGATGTAGCTAAGTAGCTGTATAAATCCAGAACTTTGCAGATCCTATGCATATAAAAAGTGTTTATTCGCGGTAAAATTGTCTTTAGAGGCCTTTTCATTAGTATTGGCGTTAAACGAACATGGATGTTCTGTACTCAGATATCCAACCAACTTTACCATGACGCTAATGCAAGTCAGGGAAATTATGTATTTTTGCGATCCGATGTATGGAGAAGCGGCGAATGCAGAGACTCATCCTGAAGAAGATCTTTGTATATGAGTTATCTGGGTAGGGTTCACGAGGTGGTGTCAGGACTTCTCACGAGCAATCGTCTGAGGCAAGAAGCTACCTTAGAAGCAAGGATAGTTTTTGCGGTAGCATGGCGTGCTAGAAAACGACGTCTAACCGAAGATGGTGATTTGTGGATAAATCAGCTTAGCTAGGCATTCTTCCTACTAAATAATAGTTAAAGGAAATACCTCTAAGCTGTAATAATAAACAAAACAGGAAACATAATAGCTCCATTAAGAATCTGGTGTTCATAAGTATGAGAATACGGAATAAGAAGAGATAAATGCATCAGGATAAACTGGCAATCTCTCAGATATGGTTGGCAAATTTAATCAACTTTTAGCTTAGAAGGAGCGGCATTCAGAAAGCATATTTATAAAACCTGAATCGATATGGACCCTCATGTGTATAACCAACTATTGATTAAGTTAATATTTCTAAACGT